TATATATATACTGTATATATGTTTAGAGGTTTTATTTGGTTTGGTATTTGGTTTTTCTTTTGACTTGTGTGTGTGATTTCAGGCAGAGGGGCTTTGACATAAAGTGGATAGATGACAGACATGCCCTGGGCCTTTTCTCAAGCCCCATAGCAGGTGAGTAAATAATAATACATCTGCTAAAGTATTGTGGTTTTAAAACTTTCCCTGACAGTGTTATGATTTATCAAAACCCTTGTTTCAGAAGTTAGACAAAAAAATGCAAAGTTGTATTTGCTTTTGTCTTTTTTTATAGCCAGTGAAGCATTAAGATCAAAACATCCACTCATGAAGTTGCGACCACTCTCAAAAGCTTCACCTGCCACGAAAGCCAAAGCTCGTACATCATCAGGTAGGATTACAGTCATTTTCTCTTCCCACCTTTATACTTTGTGTTGTCTTTAATCTGTAAGACTGAAATAATTTATGATCCTCTTTGTCAGATTACCTCCTTCCTGCAAAAGAGCGACCACAGACTAGTGCAGTACTGGCTCGCAGGCTTGTGACTGGTGCCCTTGGTGTTAAAAGCAACCTGACAAAGGAACAGCACGAAGCAGAGAGGAGAAAACTTCAGGAAGTACGAGGTGCATTAAATGACAGACAAAGTAGAGTCAATGACTGTGTTCTCTCTCTCTAAAAGAAGATATGTAAAATAAACTCTACTGTTCTTGTGTTTTTGTTTCAATAGAAAATCCTCTTTAACAACACAAGTTTCACACAATTATCACAATGTCTAGTTCTGAGCCTGAACCAAAAGAACTTAGAAGAATTAAAAGCAGTAATTCAAGAAGCATGTGTCTGTCTAAGGTAGCCACACCTTCTGAAACCAAAAAAATTTAATTGCTATATTTCCGACTGTGTAAAATGTTATGGGTGTCTAAAAACCTTTTCCACCACTGTATATACATATACAGTACGTTATGCAGTATATACATATATATGCATTGAAGCATTTCCACCACAAGTAGGAGCAGTTCTTCTCTTAGTGGCAGAAAAAGGAGTTGCTGACTGTCTATTCCTGTGTAGATCATAACAGGTCTAAAATCAGAGCTGCAGCCATTTCCTCTGACAGACTGTACTGAAGCACATGGGCACATACACATACACACAAGTCTCCACTGATTAGGAAGTCAGGGCCTTGTGTATAACTGAAAAGTGAAGTTCCTTTGTTACTCATATGTCAATGTCACAACAGGCACAGTGAATATTGATGCAATCCTGTGCCACTTTCTGCGTTTCGGCAGCATTGACATATGTTTTTCTACAGTTGTACTGCTTCAGTTTCCTGAGTGCTGCATTTGTTGCAGATGACAATGGAGAATACTAAATTTGAAGCAAACAGTTTAAACAATGTTGTCTATGTAAGGGGGATTTCTGAATGATTTGTTGACAGATTTTTCTGTGATTTATCTTCCAGAACAAAAGCGCCTGGCAGCTAAACAGAGGGAAGATGCTTGGGAGGGGAAGTGACTGGGAGAACTGTTGTACCATGTTTCTTTTTCTTCTCTTCAGTGGAGGCAAACAATGTCTTTCCTTTTTGCTTCTCCTTTCTTTAACTGGTTATTCCCTCCTACCACCACACATACCAGTAATTGATCCCCATCCAGTCTGCTGTGTGCAGTATCCTACACTTTTACTCCAAAGATGTTTCCTCTCCTAGTGTTTTCTTCAGGGACTTTTACTCACTCTAGCCTAGCACTGTAACCATTTTTTTAATCTCATTCATTAGTAAATCAATAAAATATTTTTTTCTGTAAAATGTGAACGATTTAATGCTTGTATTTAGTGATTTTTTTTAACATAACTAAATTTTGCACATATTGTTGTCAAATATATCTTTTTCATGACTTCATCATGTGATTAAAAACATTTTGGGAATAGACATTGCTATAATTCACTTCTGTTTGTTACTTGTTGTTTTCAGAAATACAACATTGCTTACAGAATGTATGATGAAATATTGCACAAAAAAACCCCACACCACCTCATTCTTACCTCTCCAACCTTAACTGTCCCTCTGATCTGCTCATTTTTAATCATTCAGTCACTCCGACCACACACCCCACTACTGTCATGTTGGACTTGTACATGTACTGCGCAACCCTCACATACTCCTCTGCCACTCCTGACTACCTCATACAGTACAACAGTACCTCTTTAGGAACACTATCATATGCTTCTCTACAAAGACACAATTCAACTCCTGACCTGAATTTTGCTACGAGTAATCCCAAAGTAAAAATTGAATCTGTTCTCAGGCCGTTTGAGTGAAATTTAAAATTTTTGATTAGTTTTTTGCACAGTCAGGTCAAGCTGATCAGCTGATTCAGCTCTACGGCACTCACGCCGGACAGCACGATGTCGTTTAGCCAGCGCTCGAATTTTGTTTTAGGCTGCCTGGTATTTAATGGAGCCACATTGTGTTAAAACGGTTTTGCAGACGCAGTGAAACCATGAGCTCAGCTCCTCTGTGTTATACACAGACTCTGGGAGGACGCAGTTTTCACTGTAAACGACTGAGAACTGAACAGCAGCGGAATAGTTAATGATACGGCAGCGTCGAGCAAACGCGCCAAATTTAACTGTAGTACAGCCCGCAACCCGGAAGCACTGCATTACAAGTTTCTAAGTCAAGAACTGGCAACCCATATGATAAAACAACACCCAGTGTGGGTCCACGTTCATGTGTGGGACCCGTGTGGGACACAGACTACTCAAAATTAAGGGTCAAAAGACTAAGAACATCGGTTGCCATTGGCTTATTAGGACAACGTACGTTGGAAATAAAAATCACCAACGACAAGAACGCAGTCATATTTAGGAATAACCTCAGCCAGGAAATCAGCAAAATCATTTACAAAGTCTTGTCTGCACACAGCACTATGTTAGAGTAAAGCAGCTCAAATAAAGTCACCTCAAAGTTAGTAAACGAGTATCATGAAAGCTGTTACCTTTATAATGACTCTGGTTATTCCTCCTCCTCGGCCTGACATCCGCGGGGAATTAAAATAGCTGCAGTAACTGGGCAAAAGTTCCTCACCGACACCTATCCAAGTCTCGGAAACACAGGTGTGAAGAAATCCTTTAAAACAAATGTCTTATTCGCCAGAGATCCGGTATTTACCAGGAAAACTGGTGGGAGCCGGTGGTTCCGCGACGTTAGCCGCCAATGAAGCCCGAAACAAGGGCCGCAGATTACGCCCCCCATGGCAGCAGGGACAAGGGGAACCGAGGCTGAAACATCTCGACAGGTACAAGCCATAATATAGGTCTAGTGAGTGACTGTGAACAGAGACGCGAGGCGTCAATCCACGCTCAGTCCAAGAGTCCGTGGAGGAACCCACCAGATGAGCCTTACGTCAAAAGGTGACAGCTGCGTAAGGCCCGGCGTCAACCAACGCTTACGCCGAGGATGTTTAGCCAGGTTGCGGTAGACGTTGGTCGGGTGGCTCACCAGGTTCGTACCACATCTTCTTCCTGAGAAGGAAGCCAGCAGTGGTTGGCGACTGAACACCAACAGTTGGTCGACATTAACGGCACCAATCCAAATGAACACACCGGTGTCATGTGTACATGCATAAATTGTGTATTTCTGTAGTACTCAGCTTTACTATGATTTCAAACTGATGAGTACAACAGGACGGTCTTCTCCATTCTTAGAAGGTCGTGTTTTAACTTACAGAAACCATGTACTTTATTTGATTGACCCTTCATCCACTGATATACACTGTTATATTTTCCAATTGAAGATGTTTTTTGTTTGACATAAAGAGGCTTCTGCCTCTAACTGTAACCTCAGCCCATGTGGCACTGCACGTCCCTCCCCTTCTTAGCCACTAATTATGTTTCATTATAGCAGCTATGGAAAACGACTTGTAAATGTGTCATCCTCTCTGTGTAAACATCACCAAGCCTACAGTATGGCGTTAACTAGCCTCTGTAGCATTCGCCTGTTTACATGTGGAAAAGGTATTTATGCACATAACAACGTCTGTACTGCCGTTTGATGACCGTATGTAAAAACAGACAAAACAAAACAACGTAAACATTGTGTGATGTTGGAGGTTTCTGGCTGAAGGTGACCCACTGCCACGTGGCTAAATGAGCTGCACGTAGTTGTGTTGCTTGGTGACCTCTTGGTCAACTCACGCAAGTGTACTGTACTGTACTGTACTGTTCTGTTTCCAAAGAGCAAAGTGAAGAAAAAACACAGAGGTGAAAACCTCATTTAAAAATAAAAGAAAATCATGGGTATAAAATCACTCAATCAAATGAGTGGTGTTGATTTAAACAAAGATTCAAATGATTACTCAATGTATTATTACAAGAGAATGTATTTATTTTTAGCCAAGTGGTCTAAATACTAAAACCATGTACATTTTGTATATGTAGTTCTTTAGTAGTACACTTATTTATTCAACATTTTATTTTATTAAGTATTACATTTAGTGTTCACCCATGCAGCTCTGCCTATAGCACAGAGTAGCTCATAACATTTAAGTAATTAAAAAAAAAAGTATTTTTAGTAAACATTTCTCAATATGCCTAAAATTTGTGTTGCTACACAGCATAATCTTAGTATTCACGACATCATTGTTTCCCAAAGACTGGGTTGCAACCCTCAGGTGGGTCGCAAGGGGCTTTTTTTGTTTTGTTTTTTTTGGTCGTCTCGCATCATGTTTCCCAGGAGTTTACAAATAATGTTTATTGACTTGGGTCGCAAAGTCCAACATAATGTGTTTATGTAGTGCAGCATGTGGCTTTGAAGGGAGATCATTAAGTCAGTTTAACTGTAGTTTGGTGGGACCAGTTGACACAACTTAGTTCCCTGACTTTATTTTTTTAGAGTGTACCAGATTGCATTGCTGTATGTTGTAAAACATTTGAATATACTGATGCTGCATCAAACTATCGTTTGGTTTCAGCATCAGTTTCATGTTTCCATCTTAGCTCTAAGGTTTAGTCTAAGGTTTTACAATTTAGCTCAATGGTGGAAAAAAAACAGTGAATGAAACAAAGCTCTGAACAGCCACTGCTGTCTTTTCCAGTTATGGGATATTATAACTCACCCACTCACATGACATTTTAGTGTGGTACAAAACAAATATGGACACAGACTCTTCCTGAATATCGCCTAATGGCGTGGACCTCCCTGTGTGCTGTTGTTCTTGCAGCTGAGCTCCATCTAAAAGCTTGTAGCTCTTCTTCACCATCATCGTGTGAGATCTGAGCCCTGCCTATAAATCTCTTGCTTTACTGTGGCTACGTGAGGGGAGGCGAATTACTGCAGGGTAGCCTACTGCACTGCTTCACACACAATAATTAGATTAACTATACAAACACAAACCACTCACTGCTGGCCATGTGCTGAATCTTCTACTTTTCACTATTATGTCATGGAGAGAATGAAGTGAGGCATGGTTAAAGTTAAGGAATGAATGCATTTTCCACCACAAACAAAACCTACTGATATAAAGAATTAAATTTATAACTGAAAAGATGGGGCTGGCTATGATCTGGTTCTCATAAAAGAAAGGGAGACTTCTTTAAAGGCACTCACTTTTAGTCACTTACTTGATGTTTTTTGTTTGTTTTTGGGTTTTTTTATATATATTTTTTAAATTAAGTGCAGTGCAGAGAAAAAATAATAGGCTCTTCACATACGGTGTGGTTTGCCAGTTTGGAGCTTGATGGGTGACTGTACACAGTTTGCATTTGTTCATTAGTACGACTGAGGTAAGAAACATCAGACAACAGTTTTTTAACAAGCATAGCCTGCTATGAAGTGCAAGATTCCTCCAGATACTAAATATTACTGTTCTTAATATAAAAAGTCAGCATAAAATAACCATGCCTCAAATAACCATACAGTTTATCACTCATAAGTTTATTTCTCTAAGATAACCAAGTATTGTCACAAGGCATAAGGCACAACACTGTTGTACAACCAGAGCTCATGTGATATATGCAACAAACAAGGGAAAAAAAACTAATAATATTAAAATGAACACTTAATAACAGCCACACAGGGACAAGTTCCAACCTTAAAGTACATTAAAATTCTGCATAAATTACTGAAAGAACATGAAATGATCGAGAGATGTAATATAAAACTGTACATGACAATACCTTTGCAATACTTTACAAAATTTATTCGAAAAAGGCAAAATAGCACCATTAAGTAAAAAATAAAATAAAAATTGAAAACCAAAAGCCACATATTTTGTTACAGTAAATAGTGCATTTTGTATTTGGAGCACTGAAAGCACAAAAGGCACGTACAGAGTTTGTCTCAAACCTGAGTTGCCGTTACATGTCAACAGGCTGGTGATTGGGTGATTGATAGTACAGGATGTGTTTTAAGCCAATAAAATGGGGATTCAATTAGTTTAATCAATAAACACACTTTTCTTTTTTCTTTTTTTAGAATTTTTGAAAGGTTTTATGTTTAATCATGGCAGCATGGTGCTTACGATGCATACAATGATACAGGAACGTAACCGGTCACTTTTGGATGCAGTTCCACTCATGCCCTTCTGTTATTCCTCCCTCAAAGGCTCATTCCCTTTTTAAACTAGCATACGATCGAAATTAACTCTGCTTTCCCTGACAGGTTGAGGTGTTGTGAGGAGTTGCACAGTTGTTCTTTCCTAATAGCAATGAGTTCCAAAATTCAAAGGAAGTTGTTGGAGAGTTGAAGTTGGTGGTCAAACAAGTCCTCCACCTCTGCACTGTAAGCATCGCCTGATGGAAGGGAGAAAAAAAATATGACAGAAAGATTGTTAAAAGTGAAAAGTACTACATTACTTTACATTAGGTTAGAAGTAACAACCACCTGCGTGGCATCCAGACATGTAAACCCGTGCTCCATCATATTTACAGCGGCAGCGCATCACGTTGTTTTGGAAGTCAGACTCAGCCATGTCTAAGGAGGGGTTGACTTGAACCTGTTACAGAGGAGACACCAAAGACAGGGTGACGTTACATAAGGTAGATCAGCTTAATGTTATTTTTTTATACAGGCACCTTTGGCCAAAAGATTCTAGCACTCTAGCACATCTTTAGCTACTGTTTAGCGATTTGGGTATAGGAATATATTTACTTCTCATTTGAGTATATTTGGTTCACTTTTGGCTCGATCCAATACTAGAATCAGAATCGGTTCGATACTGGTCTGTAGTACATTTGATCCCATATCTAAGGCTCAAGCACTCCCGTCGCAGAGAGCCGAATCTCCAGCTACTGCTGTTCAGCTCTGCTGAGAATCCATGCTGGTAGGGGCGGGACTTCATTTTGATGGGCCAATCATATGCAAGGACGTAGAGAGGACAGAATCAGCTTCTGGCTACATTTTAACAACATTTGCTAAATGACGTTAAAATGGAAGATGCCCACAACATGGAGGGGAAAAGAAGATACTGATTGATATTAGTATTGGCAGATACTCCAAGTTGCAGTATCGGTATCGGACAGGGAAAAACTTATATCGAGCCATTCCTACTTTTTGATAGACTATTTATATCTAGACTTAAGTTTATTTTAGCTAACATTTAGCTTATTCTCAGGTTTGTGTACTACAGACGTGGTGACTCCTGATAACGGAGAAGCTGAAAACGATTCCTCGTCTACGCCCTCTGTCACTATCGTTTTGTTTTTGTCTCACTCCTCAGACCAAGAACATTACAAATCCAGATTTAAATAAAGCAAAGGAAAAAGGAGGGAAGTCATGCTACAGGTGTGTTATACATCTCATGATATATAAACCCGGGCTTGTAGCTATAGATGACGCCCATTTTCCACTGTTATCTCTAAGTGGAGAAAAAAAGGGCTAAGAAAATGAAATGACAGTTTAGACTTTGGATTAAGTTGCAGCCTATCATTAGACTGCAGCCATGGTTGGTTGCCATGGTTTGTTGTTTTCCACCCTGTCTGTCTGCTTGCAGCATATAAAAAAGTACACCAATGGATTTTCCTGTTACACACATCAAACAGATAATCTGACCACATCTATACAATAAAAAGAAACAAGTTTCATTTTTTCATGTAAAATCTGCGATGTAAATCTGGTGCTAACGGTTGTCCACAAATGACTTAAAGGACAAAATATAGCAATGTGAGCAGCATGACTCATCAGTTTAAATGATACTAAGAATGGCTGCCACCCTGCGCCCGATGAAATACCCAGCTGCATGAAAAGCAAGCTCGTGCACCCTCCCTCAATCTTTCACTTCTGACACAAATTTTACGAGCAGCTCAACTACCGTTGCACCACGAGAACAGCCACAAAGTACTGCCTACTTACACTGCCTGTGGTAACACTGGGTATTGGCTTTATGACATGTTTGCGGTTGCACGTCTGAAGACGTGGCTTGTCACATATACACTTGCTCATACAGCTTCGACAAGTCCCCTCTGCACGTATAAATATATTGCACACAAATACACATGAGCTCAGTCTCACTGGGCTATCTGTTTATAGGTAAACATTTGGAACGACATTAGAAAAACGTTGAACCTTGAAGCTGAGCTGTTGGGGAAAAAATAGAATAAATGACAGAGCAGGGGTAGATGAGTAGGTCACCACAACAGACTGGATGAAATAGTCATGACGTGAAAAAAAAACAACAAAAAAAAAAACAGCTTTTACACAGAACACTCAGTGCTTTGAACAAATGTAAAAAGATGAAGGATCTTTTCCACTGCCACTGAGCCGCTGCTCTCTGAGAGGCTACTTACAATACTGCACGTCTTAAATCCAGGCTTTCTTTAAATACGCACACTCTTAAGACTGCGTATAAATGTAGGGAAGACCTGAGTAGTTGGATGTACAGCCAAGAGCAATTAAAATGAAATTATGGTCTTTTATCTCATTTGCACACCAGTGTCTAACCCCCCCGCTGTCTCCCGCTTTCATGTCTGCCCGCAATAGTTTTGCAAACTGTGTGAGCTCACTGCACGTTTCTCTCTGCATGTTTTTGCCATTTAATGGCGTGCAGACACATACTGATGTTACAACACGTCTCTACTACAAATAAGACTCCATACCTGAAAGATGTATTCACCGGGTCTAACGTCTGTGATGTCGACCCACTGGCAATCGATGTCGTGGCGGTAGGTGTCCCAGCAGCCAACTGAGATACCCTGCTGTCCCATGTTATAGCATGCGAACCGCTTATGGAGACCTTAGATAAAATGAACACACGATTGTGTTATGTGAAGAGCATGTCGGGTTGTGTTAGTGTGCAGTTGTTTTTGGGATAAGCTAAAATTATAACAAAATCCTTTAAAATCATGATCTTTTTTTAGGGCTTTCAAATGAATGGGGAGGTTATGAGCAGCATAAAACTGTCCATGCTGTGAGCCCAAGACCATTTTCAACTTGGCCTGTGATTCTAGGGCTGTCTGTGATTGCCCACTGTGGGATTTCAGGATCACTTTTTATCTCTCTTCTAAATCGTCCTGTCATCTGCCTCACCTTCAGGGCAGTAGGTGTCCTCCAGACAGAAGCTGGCCTTGTGACCTTCAGCCACCTTGGTCCCATTGAGGGTTAGCAGGTCATAGTGAGTGAACACTTCGATGCTGTGGTAGTGCCTGTTAATGGGAAGAGTAAGAAGAAGAAAGACGTACTGTTTGGACCGCTGTCATTTCTGTTGTTAAAGACTGTTACCGTCTTATGAAATAGAAATGTTGGGTTCAGAAGTGCTTATTAAGTCATTAAGAAAAGCTAAAACAAACAGGTCCAATGCATTACTGCCTTTTCTCAATACTGAATCAATCCCAGAGCAGACTCTAAAAAGTCTAAAATAAATCCGCCTGTTTGCTGGTTAGGAAGGCAGTGATTGGGCTGTGGCTCAGAGACTGGATGCTGCAACTGCAGACATGGCTGTGACTCTTAATAACTGGGTGACCAGTGAGGGGGATGTTTACTGTAGGCATGATGTTTGGTTATTTACAGTCCAACCCATGAAAAGAGTCGCTGCACCCGTTGCTCAAATTTCACCCTGTGAATATTGAATTTCCTTGCATCATAATTCTGACTTTGCTTTCGTTTTTCTTTCTACTAAAATCACAACTTACTGTTCTGTGACTCTGCTTTAGCCAGATGACAGAAGAAACAGCTGCTACATCAATAGCTCATTTCCTCTAAGTTTCTTACCTATGGCACTGGTGCCATACCCAGCTTTCCCTGGAGGCCCGGGGTCGAAAGTCAGCACGGCCCAAATTCATGATGCGGGAGGAGAAGCGTAAGAGACGGCGATGTCCGTAGGGCCAGTGCATCCTGGCAGCGGAGGAGGAGAGGCAGTTCTCTTCATTAGCGCAGGTCAGCAGGTGAAGGGGTCGATCCTCTAAATAAGCCGTTTCCTGAACGAGCTGAGCGTCCAGGACAAGGTCGGGGGCGGCTGCAGGAAAAAGGGATTCAGAGTACTTTGAAGTTATTTCAATACACACACACACACACACACACACGTTCATCAGTGTTAACCTCACTCTCAACACATGTCACTCCTGCAGCTCTGCCGTCGCCTCCTCTTGGACAGTAGACGTGAGTGTTTCTGCGACACTGCTGGACAGACATCTCGTTGCCAGTGCAATGCGTTCCACTCAGAACCACCTCTCCTGCCTCAGGAGAACCAGCCCAGAACCAGGTTTCCTGCACGGAGAAGAAAGAATACAATAAATCCATGTATACATTTTTTTGTTTCTACTTTTTGTTTTAACACACATCTGGAAGAACAACTAAAAGTAGAAAGACAGGACTGAAAGCAATCAAAAAAAAACAAAACAATACATAGTACATATACTGTACTTGAGAAGTCTTAGTACACATTAGTATAAGTACCATTCTTTTCACAGTTTTAAAACAGACGCCTGTTAAATATTCCCAGCAGCCCTCCTCAAAACACAGCCACGCTGCCCTTTCCATGCACACTTCTATTTTCAGACTGTTTGCTCTGTGCATTTTTCCACATCTCTCTTCACCTCACTTTCCCTCTTTTATTTTCGTTTCGCTGAATGTGGACGCCTGAGAAGCCTGTAATTATCTCAGGCCTCGGTAATAACACAGCGCAAACCGTAGGACACAGAGAGGGGAGGAAATACAGGAGCACAAAGAGGCAGAAAGAGAAAAAAAAAAGGAAGCTGAAGTTTGACAAAAATAACAGCATAAAGATTACCTGATGAGGTGTCGAGGCAAAGCCCAGACCCAGCTGTCGGCACACGACCATTGCTTCATTCAGGCCCCAGTTCTCACTGCACACAGAACCCCAACGTCTCACGCCTCCAACGTCCATCAGCACCTCCACACGTCCCTCTGATGGGTTTCTGCCTCCTGCCAGACGCACCTTCAGATGGGAGAAAATAATATTTTTCTGAAGTGATCTGCTGTGCTGCTTGTCTGTGGACGTGTGACCAGTTTTTACCTGGGTCTGTATTCCAGTGTTGGGAACATGGCAGCGGAGTGATACATCCTGGTTATGTTTGCAGCTGTAAAGTGGCACCTGTCTGTAGTTACACTCAGTAATGGACCTTTCCCTCCCTGTGCACTGGACACTGTTCATGTGGATGGGACCAGTACCTGTACAAGATGGACTTTATTAGCATTCATAAACACAAACACACACACACACACACACACACACACACACACTGGACCAAAAAACCTTTTAAACGTGAGGGCTGTGCAGGCAAAGATGTCGACGGAAAAGGATTAGAAGTCCAGACATGATCTGGACCTCTGATGTGGCTCTGAGACTCAGCTCGGCCAAGGGCTAAAATTACTGTACTTTGTGCAGCAAATGGAACACCAGGGCCATGTTTTATGAATCAAAATAGATACTGAAATGGCAAAATGGTGGAAAAATTATTTGAACACATTGGTGTTTGCATAGGTGTGTCAGGCCCGAGAGGCTAATGTCCCATTTAACCCTGTAATTTGGACATAAATAGCTAATGATGTCTCAAGTCAGCGTCCATTGCTCGGAGCTTTTCTATGCCTTCCTGCAGTCGTTTCCCACACAGTAGCTTATCCAGACAGAAATTCCTGAAAGCACAGCACCAAGTCTAAAGAGCCGTTTAAAATGAGCCAAATAAACACACAAAAAATGTCCATCAAAACCCGAGACTTAAGAAAATAGAGAAGGAACTGTATTTAGTATTGTAAGAACATAAGGAGCGGAAGTACATGTGATTACAGAAGTACTGGGGCGGTAGGACAAGAAAGAAAAAAAAACAACACTAACTGATTGATAAAAGCGGAGCCTGTGCCATTTGAAAGAAAAATAATTGACTTCAGTGTGTCAAACACGACCATAACAGAGCGAGGCCTTTCATAATATTTGGTATTGCTCAACACTGATTGCCTGACATTCTGCCTTTCTCGTGCACATGCACCAGGTTTATTTAGAAAACAACACTTGGTTGCTGGAACCTTCTACCATAGTTTACACATTGTTCAAGGGTTGAGTTCAACAACAATCAGCTTATCCAGTACAATTAGAAGTCAGGCTAAAACATGTTCTTTGGGTTTATTTGTCTGCTGGTTCCACGGTTCCACGGTTCCAGGGTTCCAGGGTGTGATGACCTCAGGAACAGGCATTTAGACACAGTAGTGTTTAGTCTAGAATGATCATTGAGCTCAGTTCCCTTGTGCTTCAGCATGAATGGTTCACTAAAGAAGTGATTACATTTTGTGACAGTCCGATGGTAGCCGCTCAACCTACCCTGTCCCAGTTGAGCTTTGTTAAGAGCTTCTTTGGCCGTCCCGAAGCCCAGCTCCCTGCAGACCACACTGGCTGCAGTAATGTCCCACAGATGGTCACAAACGGTGCCCCACTTGCCCTCTCGCAGCACCTCCACACGGCCCTCCCCTAAACGAGGTCCGGCTTTAAGTCGCACAACCGCCTGTAATGACAAGACAATGTGAAGCATACGTGTCAAATTCAAGGCCCGGGGGACAAATGTGTGGCCCGTGGGAAAGTCCATGCAGCAGAGTTTTTAAACCTAAGAAATTAAAAGATTTGATAATCAATCAAATAATAATCATTACATTTTGAAAAAATAAAACTGTATTCTGTTAGTATAAGAGTCTGAACGACCTATTATTTTAAAATGAGATTATCTTTAAATAAAGAAAGTACATGGATATGACTGGACTTTCTTTGAATGAAGGAAATTCAAAGAATTAAAAAAAAATTAAGTAATTTTCTCTGTGTCCCACCGTGGCCCCGTACCAAATGACCTATGGACTGGTACTGGTCCACGGACCAGGGATTGGGGACCCCTGATTCTATAGTCTTTCATTTACAACCAGCCCTTCAAGGGAACTGTAATGCTGATGTGGCCCCCGATATGAAGGGATGAAAATGAAAACTTTTGTTTGTTTTTTTATAATCATACTATTGACTAAAGCCTGTATAGCTCCTGAAGTGTATTTAATGATACTTTCTGCAGCCAAAAAATCTACAAAAATTCTTCTTTTCAGGGTTGTGGAACTGCCGCCAATCCTGAATGGTTCGTCACACATACCAACAAACAGCCCTTCACTCTCACACTCACTCATATCTATGATCATTGGACAGTGTCCATTCAATCCAGTCCACATTCTGTATGTTTTCAGACTGTGGAAAGAAGCTGTAGTTCCCACAGATAATCTAAACACAAAGGAAGAGAATTCAAACTCCATATGGAAGGACCATCCGTTACCACTGGGACTCAAACTGGTCAGTTCTTGCTGTAAGGCAAGAGCGCTAACAAGCCTTTCCATGTGTGGCCCTTTCTGCTAAAAGTGTAAAAAAAAAGTTCAATGGTGCCTTTTTGGTTCTTCTTTTTCCTTTTTTTTCTAAGGTGTCGGGAACTGAGAACTGACTTGGACTATAAGTAAGGAATAATTCAACATTATGGTTCATCCAATAAACCATCCAACCACCAATGATCCAACCCACCAACCAACATATGAACCAACCCACTGACAGACCTACCCACCCTAAGCAGTTTCCATATGTTTCCTGTCAAAACATGCAAACATTATACCAGTGTAGCTCTGCTCCCACCATAAAGACAGGCTGTGTTGACATCCAAACCTGGGTTGTATTTTAAGATCATAAACAAGTCTCCTGATTTCCACAGTTCAATGGACAAACAACATTTCCTCTTCCCACTGACCGGCACTGCAGGTGGCGCAGGTGTTCGTCCGTAACGTGCAAACTGGAACCCAGGGACGCAGCGTACCACGGCGTGCATTCCTCCTCTGCATGGGACATCAGTCCAGGGAAGAGAGAGCTGAACCTGGCACTGCGATAGAGAGGCCTCCACGCCCTGACACCGCACTCTCTCCACCCAGTAGGTTTTTTTACCAACCTGTGTCCTCAGCCTGGATGGAGAAAAGGACGACATCGACTGCGTCATGAACAAAATACGCACGAGTAAAGCCTTAACAACCAGATGTTAGTTTTACCTGGACGACGGGTCAGCTATCTTGGAGTCCCACAGTTTCCTGGGAGGGAGAGGAAACAGAGTTTACAACCGACCTTCCCTACCAGCTCCAGAGAACCAGATTCCCTGGAAAACTGTTTTTCATTTGCTAAACTTTATTCTAGTTTTTATCTTTCTCCTCAAGCATTTATTCCCTTTATCATATTAAACTGTACCCAGGAGGATCAACGTGCTGTTTATTTTTCTGCAGTTGCATTTAGTACCAGAGATCTTACCATGATTGATTCCACAACCACACCCACATTCCTCTCAGTTCCCATTTAAGCAACCACTAGGTCTTCTTCTTCTTCTCCTTCTTCTCCAGTGTGTCTACGCAAGTACTTTTCTGCAGTAAAAATCTAAATATCAAGTCATTTCGAGTTCGTCTTTTTTTTTACTAACTCCAGCAAAGCTCCCAACACTGGGTCAAAATCTCCTCAAAACTCACACAACAAGAACTCTTCACGTACAGCACCCTAACTGGCAGATCGTAGACCGAAACACCAAACTAACTACTACTTCAGTTGCTTGCTTAAGTCATGCATAAAGGATAAAATGCTAAAATGCTTTTATCATTTCCTACGCCATCCATTGGTGAACCGTGGGTATTGCAGGGAAAAGCCAGAAGTATAATGATAATTTAAATAAATTATATAATTTGTAAAAGTTTGGCAGGCCAGATTAAAAAGCTGAATGGGCTGCATCTGGCCCCCAGGCCTTAGTTTGCCCATGCCTGCTCTAACTTCAACATGCTAATTTAGCATCAGCATGAATGCACAGTGCTATTGTCCAAAATGACTCCTTGAATCTGTTTTAAGGACATATTAGTCACATGAAAGTGACTGGGAATGAACCACAATCCCAACACAACGGTCAGGTTGTAGCTGTGGCACCATTGGTGTCTCTCAACACCTTTATCCATACGGAGAGAGAAGCTACAGTAACTGACAGTAAATCAGAGATAACATGTTATTACATTGTGTGAATGCAAAGCTGCCTGACTTTAACCGTCCGCTCAGTTTGCTGTATGTGACAACAGTGTCAAAACAATTCCTATGTTGTCAAAAAAAAGTTGAACCATAATAGTGATGCTGTGGTGGACGAGTCAGTTAGAAAAAGTCAAGAACTACGGTTGTCTTGCCCGAAAAATCCAACAATTCTGACTGAACTTGTTTTTTAGGTTATTGTTTCGATACATTTAACTGTGCTATTTCACTCAACCACACACTGCAATTTATGGTAGGAAGATTCAACACTCCAATCCATAAAAAAAGGATCATTTTTATCATTATTATGTTATTGTATAAGGATCATAATTAAAAATAAAAGAATAGAAATAAAAGAAATGGTCCATAGTTAGAACACCTGTAAATATCTGTAAGAATCCACTTAACACCACACTTACGTACACGAGAGAGTGAAAGCAGAACAACAACCACAGGGTTCAGGAGTGCTGATGCAGCAGGTTCAGCTGAGACTAAGTTCTAAATTAGAGGATCTCAGAACACAATTACATCTGTTCAAGTGCACACTGGCCCCGAGGGAGAGAACAGACGTAACCAACTGTGTGGTGTCACTGTCCCCGCAGAATGGGTAGGTAACGGGACCATAAAATATGTTCAATAACTTGAGGTCGGTTTTCTGCATGAGATCGACTGAGTGAGACGCAGCTGCGCTCATGCTGCTGGGTAAAACAGTTGGAGTCTGTGGGGAAAACATTTTTTTATGTTTACATTATTTCATTTGCTGGCATCAGACGACCACAGTCAATAAGGGATGCACCAAAACAGCAATTCTTGGTTGAAACCGAAAAAACGAATACGATGAAAACCACGGCCGAAAACCGAAACACCGAACTCACTACTACTAAATCAAACAATGGAAATACTTATGTAGCACATTCAACAATGTACAATATAAAATAAAATGTTTAACTTGACCCCACTCGTGTACATTAAACAATAATGTAAAGGCCTACTGGTCTGCTGAAAGATTGTATTCAACGTGTTCTCGCATAAAAACTTGAAGTGCATTTAACTTTTTTTCTTCATTTCTCCAACTGCTCACATAACTATATCCTCATTTTAGAGTGTCGACAGATTCTTTCTCAAACAACAAGTTAAACCAAGAAAGAGAGAGAGAGAGAAGGCACAGTGTTTACCTGTATTTCTCCTGATCAAAACAAATGTGAAAATAAAAGAAAGTGTTGAGTTAACAGCCACGCTGGGGAACAAGGTACCTGCGGAGAGCCGGCCCATGTCCCGAAGTGAAACACCATAGAGAGGCCGTGAAAGGCAGGCTAGCGGTCAGTGCAGTTGTTCTGTTAGCTAAGCTAAAAAAAGAGCTCTGTGGGCAGACAGACGGATACAAGGAGAGTTGTTTTTGTATGTGCACTGGTCTACGTGTGAGTGTTTGTGTCTGTTACTTTCTCGTTGCATGTGGATCTTGGACGTGTTTCATTAAAAATCTTCTGAAGATGCTGTGTGATGGGCTTGGAGGGAGGGCGGGTTCCATACTCACGTGTGTGTGTGTGTGTGTGTGTGTTGATGGTCTGTCTCAATGGGCTGTGAAGGTATGTCTAAGTCTTGTTTTTGTTGTTTTCTATGGCTAAAATCACATGGTAACTGTACTGGTGACAGTTAATATGTTGGAAAAAAATGCTTTTGTTAGAGTGAGAATTATGAAAAGATATTCATCAGGATAATGGTCTCATAGTCTGAATTAGACATTAATGTCACCCTCCTGTGGATTATTTGAAGGCTCAGCCTTCACAGAAGGTTCTAGCGGCTAGCGGAGCCATGCTAATGAGGACAGTGGACATGTCCTGCCAGGTGTGGACAAACTAATGACATCAGTGTTAGTTCACTGCTCTACTGCGGGGATGAACATGAAATCCACTCAGGCTAATGTCTATGTAAGTGGACATTAGCCATTAGCCCCCCTCCAATCGTACTTACCTGTAGGGGGTTTGGTCAAATTCCTCAGCAGCAGGGAAACCTAACATGCCACAGACGACACGACCGCTGCTCAGGTCCCATCCCTGATTGCACACGTGACGCCACTTCCCAGCATGCTTCACTTCCAGAACTCCTTCTGTCACTAAACCGCCGTTGTTGCTGGACAGCACAGGTCGTAGACGGGCCTCCTCCAAGAGACCGCGCTCAGAATTCTGTTCAAAAGACGACCCGCAGTTATTGACTGACATTTAAAGACATCAAATCAATTATGTGTGCTTGATGTACCGGCTGATGGGTCAAATAGACAACAAAAGTGTAAAGAACCTGTAAACTCCTCACTGATGGTAAATGATTATAACAGGCCACACAACAGGTGATGCATGTTTTGTGGCTGGTGGTAAAATAATCCTTAAAACCAACAGGTGTGTACCAGTATCACTGACCTGTGTACACAAATGCACTTTCTATACTTTAAATAGTTTGAGATCACAAAATTGGTTGCTGTACATACGTGCGTATTACTCTTTTTAATCATGTAGCCTGTGTGTATTTTTACCTGTGTGAAATGCACATCATTTTCTGGATAGTCTGTTTCTACATGGTTCCCACTCAGTGGCTGGTTCCTGTCATTTCCTCCCTGTGACTGTGGTGCGGGCGGATGCCATCTGTTCGTCTGATCCTCTGTTTCTTGTCGTAAGGCTTGCGGACCGGCTCTTGCTCCGTCCTGCCTCTGCCTTTGCCCTCCACTAAATGCCATATTTGAAGGGAGTTGATGCCCCTGTGGTGAAGCTGAGTTTGGATACTGGCTGGTTCGGGCGCCTGCTCGATTTCGTAAAATCTGGATTTCATGGCCATTTTGCTGTGGTGGGATGCTGCTACGACGTGAAGTCGGGTTGCGATGAAGAGCAATCACGTGGCCTCTATCTGAAGAGGAGGAGATCTGGGCTGCCGAAGGAACTGGGGGAGACACGGCCAGTGGTGATTGAGGTGGATTTCTGTTTCGTAATTGGTTTGGCTGCTGCACTGAGGATGAAGAGGCCCCCTCCAGGGAAACAGGGGGGAACCCTGGCCTTCTTTCTGGGCTGCAAATGACACCAAGGTCCTCTGCGTGGGTGCAGTCATTGACTCCCCAGCCGTTGGAACGACACTCTGCTATTGAGAGCTCTGAGCCTCTGCAGTGGACATTGTCCAGCCAGATCAGCCCTAACAGAGAGAAAGGGAAGTGAATCATTAAATCATAGAACTACAGGCTGTAGACTGTACTACTTTTGCTTAAACTAAAGATTTCTTGCCATACCTCGCCCTTCACCAAACTTGGCACTGTGTGCCCAGGTAAAGCTGCGCTGGAAGCCAAGCTGTCGGCACACCACGTTGGCTAGATGAAGATCCACTTCATCATCACAGACAGTTCCCCATTCTCCATTATAGAATACTTCCACACGTCCCTCGTTTGGACCGCGTCGGCCCACACCTGCGAGACGTACAAGCAGCTCTTGGCCGGACAGAGGAGCAGGGTAGAGGAGGAGCAGGAGGAGAAGGAGTGTGCTTAGGGATCTGAGGCTCTGCATCCTGTAGAAACAGAAAAAAGACATACATATGCACTTGTTACCATAAGCCCTCCCCCTCAATAAAAATGAACACAACGTCCATGTCACTCAGCTTCAAGGCTTCGACAAAACATATAATTAGAATCGTTTCTTCAAACCCTGGTGGGATTTATTCACACTGCAATGACATTTTTAATCCTTTTAAACAATTTGTCTGATTTGAAATAATGCCAGGCGTTTAAAACCCTCTGTGAAAGTGTTGCCCGCAGTGTGAACCAGCCAGAGTGGGGAAAGTAATATTTACAGCTAAAAGTAGCCTCTCCATCCAGCCAGCGGAAACTTTGGTTTTCCACAAACCGTCAAACTTAGCTGCATGAATTTAGCCAACAGTCACAAAAGCAAATAAACACAGTCATAAATCTTTTTTCAAACACATTTAAAGCAAATGGTGAAAGTCTGTATCTGTGGAGTCATGTTGGTTCGTTGGTAATGATTAATTCATTCTTTGACCTCTTAAAAACTTCTTCAGATGTGCAGCAAACGGAGGGACAAGAGGAGAAAGTCACTAAAGTAAATGTAGCCTGTCTGTTCCACTTAGGTACACACACACACACACACACACACACACACACACACACACACACATACACCAGTGACACTAATATGTTAAAAGAAGTGATAACCAAGATCTGAATACATTTTTAAGGATTCAAGCTCTGTGGAGCGAAAAAAATATCACATCAATTATGAACTAAAACACAATTAGAAAACAAAACAAACAGAGTGAAGGAATATATCAAAATTCTCAAGTTGGACTCACCTATCATTGATCTCAGCCTGGAGTCAACGAGAGACAGAGGAGGGAGAGAGAGAGAGAGAGGGAGAGAGAGCGAGAGCACTGAGGGAAAAAAAGGGATCATGTTTGGCTGTAGTGTTCCTCGTTCCTCCTCCTCCTCCTCCTCCCTCCCTCCTTTTCTGTCACTCCCTCAGGTCTCATGTGCAGTTCATGGTTGGCACTAAAAAAAAGAAGGACAACAAAGCCCTCCACCTCCTTTTCCTATTTCACAGTTCAGCATCACTAATAAAAATGAACTCTAATCAATGGACGTGGTCAAATATGTGGCTGGGGGACACGTGAAAGGAAATAAGGAGCCATTTCTTTAATTGCTCTGTCAGTTTGGTCAGACATTGTTAATCATTTAAACCTACATGATGAGTAATGTTTACTTTTGTAAACATGCTTGCTTGCTGTCTCTCTCGCTCTCTCTCACTCACTCACACTCACACACACACACACGCACCAAACCTAAAACTCAGAAATAAATACCTTGATTTAATTTCCTAAAGTCCTAAATCAAAGCTCCTGACTCAAAAGGTTAGGTGTTTCCAAACTGAATGACAAACTGTGTAACTCACAAAGACAATGATCCATTTCAGAAGAATTTGCATTGTAGTGTTTTTACAAATTATATTTCAAACTTTGAGTGAATATATAACTTTTTTATTGAGTGCAATTCCGCCCAGAGAATAACGTGTAGAATATGTTATTCCAAATACCATATCATAACAATGTGTTATCAAACAAACATGATCAAATACGTACTGTATCAAATCATTCTGTGATAGATTCATTGTATATAGATTTTCTTTCTGACATAATATCATCTTTTTCAAGGCGTACAGCACAAAAGTACAGCACTGTACAACTCCTTTGAGAAAATGTCACGTCCAGTTGCCTAACAGAACTCTCCAAGCCTGACCCAGACCTGGATGACTGAGAACCTTAGACAGTACAAAAGTACTAAAAGTACAACTAGAGCCACATTGATGGTGATATTTTAGGAAAAGAACGGGAGGGCTCAATAACTTTCCTTAGTGGAGGCCCTCTGTCAAACGTGGAAATAACGCTTCTTGTAAATAAAATTCAGTCTAGGATTCAGTCTGTATGTCATCAGAACAGGAAGGAGTGCCTCTCTAGTCCTGACAACCACTCAAAGTTCTTGAAACTAGTGGTTTGTCCATGGACTTACTTTCAGTCAGGCTGTACTGTATGTACATTTTAATCCTCCATTCTGTGGGTGAAAATGTCCTAATGTTACTAGACACTTTGGTTGTGTCTATGAATCACATTGTTTACATTTTGGTCTCCCCATTGAAGCGGCGGGGCTGTGGAAATGCTGTTTAGTTCAGAACAAAGCAAACTATTTAGTCTGGTCCTACTTAGACAGTGGTTAGTCACACAAAACACAATAAAAGAAAACATGTGATGTCAATAATAACAATTTACCTGTGAAAAGTCTTTCAACTTACAACAATGATGGCTGCCAGGCTTTCTCACATTTACAACTCAGACACTCCTGAGCCCATTTAGTTGAAAAGAAAAAGTTGATATACTTGTGTAAATTGAAGAAAAACTCTCCCTGAACAGCGCTGAGTCAGGCTTTTTTGTTTTAATGGCTATCTGCCGCCACCCAGTGGAAGAGAAGTTAAGTGTCATACTTGTCACTAACTGCAAACAAACAAAGGACAAATCATATCCACAGTGTACTTGACGATCTCTCGAGGCACACATGTGCCGTACCACAGTTGGGGATCGATTGTCCAAAAACTGTTTACTTGTGCTGTTGATCACTCGAGAGGAAGATAATGTTATGTAGATTTCTACAGAAACTGAATTAATATTTTATGACCTTCCTTAGTAACCTGAAAGAGTGGACACTGTCGGGTATTGTTTACGCTGAATCATGCACTTTTCCCTATCGATGAACAGAGAGTGTGTTTTACAGTTTAGATCCTTCTCCAGGGTCATCCGTGACTCTTCCAGGAGGGACAGGGACCTGCGGGCCTCACTCAGCTGATGCTGCAGAGACTCCACAGTGGCATTAATCTGCCTCACCTCTCCCTCCAAACTGGACAGGAACAAACAATGGGGAGTTTGAGATTCAAAAAATAAATAAACATTAGTGTGAGCCATGTTAACATATTTTTAAAGCCTGTATCCCTGGCTGTTGTTAGATGTCTCTAGAACCTCAATAATGAACGTTACTGCTGTCATTGGTGAAGATGGTTCTCTGATGGAGGAAACCTGTGCAGTTGCTTCCATGCATTGGCCTAGCAATGGTGATTTATATCTAAACTGATGTCATTTTAAGCTGGTTGTTGTACAGTGCGGTTTTATTTCCATGACACGTTACTAACTCTTCCTTTTGTACATTGTACATTGCTATGTCTGTGTGTGTCCGTACCTGATTTGGGGGTCATCCATGCAGAGTTCCATGTTTGGTCTATGAGAGCGGACATAAAGTCTAGACTCAGCAATCCTTAGTGGACCTTCTTTATTGTGAATGGCTTGCTGTAGAGCTACGATGTTCCTCTCCTGGGCTCCAATCTGCTCTAGAACCTGGGCACACAAACACGATAACCTACGATGAACCCAGAGGTCTCACTCTCAAAACAAGATGGTCCCATTTTGTCAATTGTCTCTTTAAGGTCACAGGGGGCGCTGCAGCCAATGCCAGCAGTCGTCAGGCAAGATCAGGGTATACCCCGGACAGTTTGCTCGTCCATTTCAGAGCCAAACACTCTATGGTCAGTTAAGAGAGTCCCATTTAACTAGTTAACTAGTTTGAACACCTGAATGCCACTTAGGCCATGAAGGGAACTGACGTCTTGGTTTTAATAGTGGGTCACACCCAACGTTTTTAAGCGCGCACCGCAATTGAACCGAATTGGCCCACATTTGTATTGATTTTTGATTGATTCACGATGCATCATTACATCAGTATACACAGAACACCAGGTCCGGATGGACCTAACAACCCTGCCATCATGTGGCCCCTGAAGTGACTAACATGACAGTTAAGGTTGTTTGCCACAGCATTGTTGGATGAAGTAGACACACACTATGGTTTCATCATTCTCCTTATTCATAATAGCAATTATAGTACATTTTTATCTTAAGCATCTTTCAAAGAAACACAAGGGTGACATCCACATACGCAACATAGAGAAGATGGACACAAGGGATCTCAGGATGTGATGGTGATATGAATGAGGTCAAACAGATATGGAGGGATGAAATCACTGATGGCCTTGAAGGTCAGGTGGAGAGTTTTGAACTGACCACTGTTCACCCCGAAGTAACCAAAAAGCTAAGCAACAGTTACATTTATATTTCTGTCTATTTACCGTGGCTAGCTTCATCTCTAGCTGGCTCCTGGCCCCGGTCAGCTCCATGCAGCGCTGACTAAAGGCCTGCTCCACATGGGAGCACTGGACTCTCAGATCATCTGTGGTGTCCAGTAGCACTCGCTCCACCAGCATCCTGAGCCACACACAAAAAACAGACTCAGTTATTGAGAACCCATTGTTTGTATTTGACTGTATTACGTCCGACCTGAGATCGTTGGTGGACTGCTCTTCCTGAAATGCATTACTGATGTTGTCTTGCGTAAACTTTGTCCAAAGACCACAGTCCCTCATTCTGAAAGAGATCACAGTTTAGAATGTCTTGTAAGAGAGATGTAATCTTGACTCAACCACCGAGGTTAAATCAGTAATTTCTTAGTTCCTCCTGTTCGTTGTCCATTGTATAGCAACGTCAAATTTAAAACTCACTGCATTGTGGCTGTGCCAGGATGGTGTTGTGTATCTGGACTCATATTACTGTATCTTCCACATTGATCGTCCAAGTTGTAGGCCTGGTACTTGTCAGACCAGTCCATTTCTAGCATCTGCTTGGCCTTTTTGTTTCTCCTTATAAAAATGGACACACACATTAAAAATGTCAATTATTCATCATTGAGTATGTGAGCCGCTCAGACTTCAATGTGAAAGACTGGAGACTTACTTGATCTGAGCAACAAGCTGGGCTGTAGTTTGCTTGAGGAGAGCTTGGACGTTTCTTATCAATTCCACCTCCTATGAAACACAAACAGACTTCTAATAACTGTGCCATCAGGTTCTTCTTTAACACGTCTTCTTCTGGTGTTACTTCACTCTTTTCAGCACCGTTATTGACCCCACATGGCAGAGTTAGCCAACATTTTTGCTAGACCAGTTATCCTAATGGTTTTCAGTGTGGTCAGCCCTGACCAGTGGGCTGCCAGTCAGCACACGTATTAGTTAGTTTTACAACCAATAACATTGAGCATGCATTCTGTGCCAGGTAGCTGAAGAGGAAGAGTAGACTTTACAACTTTACATCTTTTACAACATAAAAATGTATCATATAAAATAATGTGTAAAATAAATTATTAATATACAAAACAAACATTTTATCAAATGCTTCTTATTTAAATGGCTTGAACTCAACATACTGTGCTTTTTAAGTTACAATACAAAAACAAATACAAAACTCAACCAATCCCTTATTGTTTGTATATCTATAAACTTGATCTATTTACAGTGAAGTCTTAAGAAACAAAAGAATCCCACAACAAAATATAAACAAGATATGTGAAGAAAAATGAAAAACAGTTTTTATTTATATATGTCTGAAACGGAGTTCTACAAAATAATTATATAATATTTTTTATTAAAGATACAACAAACACAAGTTTCAATGTAACTTTTAACAGAGACTCAAACGAATCCCAAAACAAGATATAAATGAAAATGTGTAAAACAAAAAATAGCAGCATCCAGACTGGGCTGCGGTTCCTGCTCTCCACCGGTAGAGGAAGCTGTGTACTGTGTGAAGGCAGTGCAGCTAATGAACACTTACAGTCTGTTTTCTTCCATACTCACTTTTAACCTGAATTCATTTCTAGCTGAACTCGTTCATCTCCTTCACACCCTGACAGCAGAGCTCACCTTGGACAGTTCCTCCTCCACGTTGTCTTTGACTAAGTCTGGACCTGGCCTTCTTGTCCTGCAGTTCAGATTGTCCAAGGCGATGGCATACGGCGTCTCGGTGGCATCCAGAGCCTTCTCCAGCCGCGTTTTTAGCCCCAGCAGTGACGTGATGTCGACCTGCAGCTGCTCGATGTGCCGCTGCAGCTCCGACCTCCAGTAGTGGATGTCCTGGATTCTCTCACCGAGCAGACGCGTCCCGTGGGATTGTGTCTGCAAAACCGATGCCTCTGCGTCCTGGTACTTTGTCTTTGAAACTCGTTGGATGCTCTGGGCTCCAAGGCAGTCTCCTCCGGACTGTTCAAGGATGCTGTGGTAGTTAGAGAACCACTCGGGCTGTGTGTATTTACCCGTACGATAACCAGCCGTGGCTGAACCCGACAACGGCTGCGGGATCTCTTTTCCCCCCAGAAAGTCTCCCCGTGGGACTTCCAACGACACAGCGCTGTGACTTTGAGGCTCTGGTGCAAAGAGTTCAGCGCTCATCTTTTTATGGAACGGAACGTTCGAATAACGACGGAATAACAGACTTATCAGTCGACTTTAACGAGCAACAGACAGTCTTCAGTAGCTTGTTTGAAGTTGCCATGGAGAGAGACCTGTTGCCAGGGTCAGGTTCAGAAGAAGTTTAGGCTCACGTGACTTCAAATATAATCAATAATTAATCAACTATGATTAATATAATTGTATGACATATTTTTCGTAGTTAAGTTTAAAAACAGGGACCTCAAACTCCTGGCCTGGGGAGCACTTCTGGCTCAAAAACCTCCCATATTTTGGCCCAGAACAAGATTTGAATTAAATCGTTTTAAAATCTGTCGCTGATGTGGTCCTACAATGAAACACTGATGGTATCATTGGTCTTTAGCTCATTAGAGTTTGAGATCCCTGGTTTAAAAACACAGAATGTTGTACATTATGCAGCACAAATTACAAATAATATACATTACACTGGAATACAGGGATCACTCATCATACATGGAGACAGGATGAATTAGGCTACGTAAGACCTACCTCAGTCCCAACACACTCACTTTAATGATCTAATCAAACCCTGCCTGTTTGGTAAATTTGGGCTATACAAATATTTCTCTAGACTCCAGAGTGAGTCTTTTTAATTTTCAAACAACTTTTAAGAAGCTGACACCAAAGTGAATTTAAATTAAAAAAAAAAAAAACCCCTTCTACTATCTCTTAGTACTCAACTGAAGTGGTAGTAATCGGTTCCTTCTTTCAGCAGCAGTGAGTTAAGATTTTCTTCCATAACACCTCCAGTCATGTCCTACAAGATGAGACAGTGAGAGTAAAGACGTGTTCACACTATTGCCATTGAATCCTTGAACAGCTGTCTTACAGACTGAAATCCCACCTACAGGTAATTACATGGTGCAAGTCATTAGTTCATTTCAACATGAAAAGTTATAAGATTTTGTCCGGGACTGTTTTCTGTTAGAACGTATTTAATACAAATCTCCATGTGACATTCCTTTCCATTATTGGGTTCATACTCCCAGGAATTTGAAGGATCACACCAGACCTAACGTCTGAGGCCAACAGACATTTGTCTGACTCCAACTCCCTACATGATGCACACGAATTACCTTAGAAGACGTGTCAAACTAAAGGCCTGGGGGCCAAATGTGGCCCACCAAGTCATTTTCTATGGTCTGCAGGAGCTTAAAAAGCATTTAATAAAATTCATGCTGCTGAGTTTCTTAACCTGATAAATTAAAAGTTTTTTTTTATTACACACAGCCATTTACAATCTTTGTAACTTGAATAAATAGTTTCAGAAACATTTAATTAATACGTTATGGAGTAGTTAGAGCTACACAGTCTACTGTTTGTTTGACACCCCTGCCTTAGTGCTTTGTACTTTGAGTACAATTAAGATTTAAAGTTCAAATCATACAATCAGCAAACACAGATACAGATACACCCACAGGTAGTATGTGATTTACAACAGGACAACTGCTTACCAGTTTAACACAGATGATGAAGGGTGCAGACGCATGTTTGTAGTGCAGAATTGGAATTTTTGGTTTAGGTTTTTCCTGAGAAGATAATTGGGAAGAGAGTTGCACAAGCCATGTTTGGTGATAGAATAAGGTTTCACTGGAGCAGATGAAGTTAATTTGATTTAAGTGAAGATAATGGAAATAATATTAGTATGTTTATTGTTATTGTCTCGTAATAATAAGACATAACCCATTATTTTGACTTCAGGGTGTTTAATGTACTGTTATTATGTTAGCATCAATGTGTGCAACATTATAGTAATGTTTACCTGCTGTTTCTTATTCTCATTTTTTTTTCAGTTTAATATTTTTGAGCATGTGTTCCATTTTTTAACAATATGTGGCAGATATTTTTTTCCAGGCTTTTTAAAAAAAGTATATCACTGATGTGCTGCTGGTTCAGACACACTTCTCTGACTGCTCAAATTTATCCCACACAGGCTCAATTCAAGAGGTCGTTTTCTGACTCTTTTTAAAAACGTCTAATGTCTAACTGAAATGTCTTCTGTTTATATTTCTAATTTTCTGTGTAGTGGTTTGTCCTCACCTTTGACTCTTCAAATGTATAAAATCTTTTCTTGATCTTTCTTTCATCCACATCACAGAACGCTTTCACCTGTGAATGAAAAAGGTACAAATGACACATTCAAAGAATAACAAGTTAAAAAACAAGTTTGAGTGTATTATTGTAAGAGTTACCAACTTTCTTCTGATTAACTGGACTGAGGCACCGGTACAGTTTTCGACCCTGTTTCCCTGCATTCCATATGGTAAAGTCCTCCCAAACTCCGAGGACTCTCTCCTGCAGGAAGTCAACTCTTTGCTTCCAAATGGTTTCTCTTATGACAAATGAGAAGATCAGAAGAACAAATCAGGAAACAGATGTATAATACTATAAAAATATAATAATACTGGCCGTTAGCACCTTTGTGGTAGGAAAGGTGAATGTGGCCACAAGAACACACGACGCAAAATTGTTAACATTTCATTTCAGTAAAACTCTGAACTAAATAGATGAAAATGTAATTAATGAAATGCCATGTTCTGATACAAAGTTCTCAGTTCGTGGAGAGCTCTGATTGGCTGAACAAAAGGAAGACAATAATTCCATTCAGCCATTCAGAGGCCTTGATTCCTCCAGCCAACCAGGCCTGCTTTAGGTCGTAGCCCGTCATGACCCATGTATGCTCGTGTACATTTGACCTACTCAGATATGGAGTGTGTGGCGGCTTTCTCATGGTAACGATAGATCAGCAGACACTGGTTGACCCTGGAAACACCACCTCCGTGTCTAAGACTCTGGTAGAAAAACAGGAGATCCTCCGGTACACCCTTGAGAGAAACATAAACAATGAAGATTATACAAATTAAAATCACAATATCACTAATTCATTAAATTTTAATAATGTTAAATTTAATAATGTTACGCTCCTCGAAACTAATTGATAAACTTTGGTCTCTATTGTTGTAATATATAACAGCACTAGGACGAGACATTACCAAGGTTTCACTGTTCCTTTTAACAACACTCACTACAGTGGAAACATTGGCTGGAGTCATGTGACCAGTGTCCATGTACAAATATTAACTCCCTGACCGGGACCACTGAGCTGCATTTAAGCAGGACTTCCTGCACTGCGGGCAAATGTGTTTCAATGAAAAGACTACGTCAACTTCACCTGTGAGACAAATGCAGTTTATATATAAAAGATGAAGTTGTCACAACCTCACCTTTCCACCTTCATCAAATGGTCCAACTTTCAGAAACCATTGCCTTGAGCAAAACCATGTGGGCATGACAACAGTGGGGCCGTGAGATGTGTACACCTGAGAGATCGAAGCAAATGTAAAGGGAAGGATTGCTATATCCATGATTATTATTTTGAAGAAATCTATATTAGTATTTGTATTATTTTGTCACATCATGAGTAAAACGTAGCTTGGTGTTACATGTTCATATTGATTAAGCTCACTTACCTGTGTCATAAGTTGATCCTGAGTAATTGTGTTAATCCAACGAGTGTAACGCTCTGTGGATTCCTCTGGCAGTCTTTTAACGCGACATCCAATAAGCTTTCAGAAAACACACCCTTGTTAGCACAGAAATATTTTTTAGTCAGTTGACTGGACTTACAGTCATTTAGTTACTGGAAATAAATGAAACCCACTTGCTTGACAAACAAGGACAACTAGATCAACAAGATATATATATATATGTATATATATATATATATATATATACACACATAATGGCCAAACCAACTCTAATGACAACTCACAGAGTTTGGCTGGAGGAGTGACATCTCATATTGTAGACGAACTCTTTGTGGCAACATAATGTCATCCTACAGTAAGAGAAAAACAAACACCGGTCACATACTTACTGAGAACTGATTAGATGAGATACATTTAGATGTAAGCCAAGCTTTCCCTGTTTACACACCGACAAGTTCATTTCAGATTACATGTTACATAACTCCTAATATTCTTTACATATTTAAGAATATATACATCAGTTATATCACATTATAAACTAAACAAGTGACAATATGTATGAACGTACAATTGCATTATATGTCTTTTTACTACTGAACTCTTATTGTCTATCTTTCACTTGTTTATTAATCAACTTAATACGTTTGACTTCATACTATTACGTAACATAGTCTGTATGGTTTTATGTATACACTGTTAGAAACCTTGTTGTGTTCAAACACACACATACTCACCGCATCTTGAAAGCACAAGTGTCTGCCACAGCTCTGAGACACAGCCTTATTCTTCGCAAAACCCACTGAAAGACACAGGAATAGACTACATTTGTTGACATTTGCTGATAAAGACAAAGGGAGAATGGCAAAAGACAGTGCATCAAGATTTCTATTACATTAAAAGCACACTATGAAAAGAGAAACAAACAATGCTGCTTCATATTGCCATATATTCTGAGAATGACAAAATAAAAAATACTGGAAAGAATTAAAAAATAAATAAATAATATAAAGCAATACAAATTATCTTCAATAAACACATACCATGTACTCATCTCACAGGAAGAAAAGCTCTATCTAAAAGATAGATGTCACAGGAAGGCCTGACCATCATCAATCACTATCAATGTGACAAGAAATATTCAAAAGGAATAGTCACTTTATTTTAGAAATAAATGAAAACAGAATTGTTTGCACAGCACTGGGAGAAATGGGCATTTTGTATAAAATCTTTAAGAATTGATTTAGTAAAAAGTATTTTTCATTTTTATTATAAAAATGTTGTTTTTAAATAGCAATCTGCTGTTTTAGTTAATTTACAAGAAGCTTTGCATTGCACTGTGTAAAATTTACAACACAATATACTGTATATGAATGTAGTGCATATTGTAAAATGTCATTAATACAGAGATTCATGTAATGTACAAACCAACTATAAACTTCATTAACAAGGTCATGAATATGTGAACAATACAAAAATCTTTCAATTAAAAGAGAATAAAAAGAAAAGAAAATGCACCTAAGTCCTCCATGCCCCCTACTCACCTCCTCTTGGTTGGACAGAGTTGTGACCAGAGATCACCACAGAGATTCCCCTTGTTTTTAGCTTCTCCACCCAACCCTCCACCACTTTCCTGGAATCATCCTGGTGGCGAACAGGGAACAAAGTTCAGCTAATAGCACATAAGTGGCATTGATACTTGAATTGACTGAAATGGTGACATACTGTGCTCGCATCATCAAAGACAGACAGCTCCATGGACCCAGCAAAGTCTTGATCTACTATGGCCTGCAGACATTCATCCAGCCATGGGCCAGCATTGTACACAGGCATGATAATACTCTGGTGTTAATGAAACGTAAACAGAATAAAACATTTCACATCACGAAAGACATAACTGAATACCACGAAACAGCATGTACATGACTCTGGGAGAAGATCAATAGTGAGGACATTTTATTGTTGTATTTGCCACAAAATAAACATGGTCATTTAATAAAGAGCCAGATATTATAATATTTTTCTTTGTGTTTCTCAATTGTCCCTTTACTGAAAAACATATTCTATATTAGAAAAATCCCACTGAACACCCCAAAAAAGTAAAAAAAAAAAAATTAAAGAACGCTTAGCACTGGCATTTATTTTTAACCTGTCCTGTTCCTACACTGATTTGAGCTGATTATGATTCAACTTCACAACAAATTGTAATGTTGTATCATAATCGCTCATTGTATGACTTACAACATCCACTGCCTCCCCCGTGTCATCTCGCTCCTCTTCTCTGACCACAGCATCAACTTCCAACCTTCGGAGCTTCTTCGATGGGTTCATTTCGGCTCAGAGCGACCGCTGCTTATGTTTGGGAGCGCATAGCTACTTACTTGTGATATAACATTAAATAAGTTCTTCTTAGGGAAACAGCTCAAGAAAATATGACTTCTTGTTTGTGTTTGTTATGGTGAAAGTACGTGAGCTACACTCAGTGACCGTGTCGACATAAGATGACGTCAATTTGTTGTGCCGACTAGTTCCACGGCCCTGGTGCACTGATAGTCGTGCCCATAGACAGCCAGTGACATAAACTAGTTTATTTTCAATGTAAAAGTGGGACAAAGTCTTCAAAAGGCTAGATTAGCACACAAATTCAATCAGACAATTTTCTGAAACAAAACAACATTTAATGTGAATTTTTGGTTTACATTTAAGATTATAACCTTAATTCACATGACAGGTTATTTTCTGAAAAATAAAAAAACGATCTGAAACTAACTGAGGGGAAAAAAGATTTCAGTACCTTCATTGTCCAGTAAAAAATATTTTTGTGAAAAATAAAAGTATATCAAGATTAAATGTAAAAACTGTTGCCAGTGAAGGACAATAAGTGGCTGAGACGCCTGTCAGTCATGTGGTTCCCATGACAACCGTTCGGTCAGAGGAAGGTGGGGTGTCATTTGAATCTGTGCTCGTTGGATTTGGATTTCTATGTTTAACTTTTTTAATTTTATAACGGACCCCAACCTGTGATTCAAGGATCCACCAGTGGTAGGCACAAGTCGACTGGAGGGTCAAACCACACCAATTACTGACGTCATTCCTGAGGTTAATTCTACAAATCACCGGTCAAATTAAAGTTAAGTATAAAATTAAAGTATTCGTTTTGGAAGTAAATAAAACATGAAGAGTGTAATCACATATTTTTTATTAGCAAAAAAAACCCCGTTCTTCATACCTTTTCCTTTATAAACAGAACAAGTCTTTTTATTTACCCGTTCATTGTCAATGACGAATTTAGATACCATGTATGTGTCTTTAAAGTATATGTTCCTATGTGTATAACTTTTCTACGGAAACATGTGAACAGACGTCAAACACAATTCTGTAACAAATAGGTGTGAGACGTTTTAGCTGTTAATACAGCAAATGTTATAAATGTATAAATAAACTTCAGCTCCTAGTATGCGTTTTTGGGTGCGTTCAGTGTACCCAGTAAAATGCAGTAGACAGCAGAACACAGAACAATAATATCAGGAACAATACTGGCAATAATACACATTACAACTATGCAATCTCCCTACATGTTAGAGTATTATTTATATTTTTAATTTAAAATAAATAAATACAATAATTAAAATGGTCACACTGTAGCTTTCTGCTATTTTTAACAGATCTCTTAAAGGCCTCATGGATGAGTATGTTGACCTGTGCTGTTCATTTGGGTAAGAAGCAGCATTAATTAAATAGATTAATGTATGTCACTGATGTCTGTGACTGTGTCTGTGTTGAAAAGTCAAACTACTGTTGTTTGTTTTATCGTTTTATGCTGATTCTCTTCTTTGGCAGCCAAAATTGAAATCAAATTTCAATTATTGGCCCAGTCCTAGTCTTCATACATACAGATGTCATGTAGTGACATGGTTACATAGACCACAACTAATGATTCTGTTAATGAGGGGTTCAGATTTTTTAGTTTATTACACCACTGCCCCATTGTCCACAGAGTTCCAGTTTGGATAGCAACACTGATCCACAATGCAAAGCATCTCAAGAGCGACTGTGCCCGTCGAAGGAAGTTCTACAAGCTCCTTCACAAGAAACTGGTGGGTACTAAGGGCAACAGATGTTTCAGCCTAAAGTCCCTTACTGTTGCTGTTTTTATTCATATTTATAGCAACAGTCTGTGCCCACCTGTATGTGTTTGTGTATCTGGTCGAACATCACAGCATTCCTTTGACATGAATCTAAGATATCAACAGTAAATAAATTCATTTTCGTGAACATTTTATTTTTAAAGACTTTTTTAGGAAATTAAAGGATAAGATGCTACAATCGATCAAAGATTAAAGTACCAAAAACATCGCCTTTTTTCTGATTTTTAAGCATAAAAACATGTCTATTTACATGTTTTTATGCAGATTAGTACAGTTTTATCATTTGTGTGAGTATTTTATTTTCCAGGAAAGTATTATAGGATGTTACTTTTGATTAAAGGTTGACGTACTAAAACAATCTGGCGTTTTTTCTAAATTTTCCGCATAAATAAGTTTATATCTACGGGTTTGTAGGCAAACAAATATTGATTTTAATTTTTGCAATTATCTTGTGAAATTAACTAATGCATAATAGTTGTGATAATAATAATATTGTGATAAATTCTCTGACAATAATCATACAAAAAGAAATCTATAATCGTGGCATCCCTACAAATGATCATAGGTGAGGATAGGAATGAAGATTGACTCCGTCTTTTCCGTCTGTCCTCGTTCGCTCTTCATCATGACAGTGCAGTTTGAAGTCCTCAATTTAAGTATATCTTACAACAACAACAAGCAACTGTTAATGTTGATAATAATACAAATACAAACATTCATACCAAAGTGAATATAAAAATCACATCATACATTTAGGCTTCATGAAGACAGCTTCCTTATTCTCACCTGGATTTGTCAGCTCTGACCATACATTTGGATATAGATACAGCAACACTGAGCTCTCCATGTTTGTTTTGTTGGGTTTAACGAAACATGTCAATAATGAGAAATGGAAATAGGCTCAGGCTCAAAGGAAGTCTTGAACCTGTTGTTACTGCTCAAGTTATGTCTTTTCATTTCCAGATGTAGTTCATCTATCGTACACCAGGGCAATATTAAATGATATCATAGATGGCCCACAGTGAATGGAGCTTGTTCTCAGCTGTATGTTGGTTGTTTTACTCCTTATTTTGTTCTTTTACTTTACTACCAGATATTGCACAAGGTTGGACTGAATGAGGGGTCTGTGCTTCCACCCACTTATGTTTACCCAGACCAGGTGAAACAGCTAATCCGTTCCGTCTTTCCACTTGGTATATGTAACTACCCTAACCCCTCTCATGATCGGGTAAGTGTTGACAGTGTGATAGAACAATGTGCATGTTTTGAAATTATCACAGTAATTACTATAAAAAAAAACCAACCACATTACTATGAAATAAATCAAGCTATTGTACATCAGTCAAGCTTCAGAGCCTCCTTTTAGGTATAAATCACTTTTGCAAGGGTGGTTTCAATCAGAACTCCTTCTTTGTAGACATTTTGGGGGATGTCTTTTACACCAGCTCACAACCTGCTTCTTTGCCTCGTTTATTTAATGACTTAATACCAGAGATTTGTGTGTTCATGTGTGTGTGTTTCAGGTGGTGAATGTCACTGCAGAGGATCTTCACAAAGTGAAAAATAACTGATGTCTATTTTTTGGCCCTTGTGTCATTGGTTTTCAATTATGACTTTGCTTTTTTCATTTATCTAATGACGCCATGTGTCATAAATGTCACATTAATTATGCACTGGTAATAAATACTGCGGTGTTAAAACGTAAAAACACATGAAAGTGAATAAATAACTGTCGGTCTCCATTGTTCAGATTTCTTTTCCCACTGCAGGACCTAAATGACTGTTTGATAAAAACAGTGGTGTAATATTGAGAGAATAAGTGCAATATTGTTTAAATAATGCAACCATTACATTTCAACACTAAAATACCAGTTGTTGATTTAAATACCTAATAATAACAGAGGAACATGGCAGTTCTGAATATTTCTATCAACAAGGGAAACTACGTCTGCCAAGTCAAACTCCTGACATTTTGAAAATTTTGAGGCAGAAGATGTGACAGGATGTGATGTCAAACCCCTGAAGACCCAACTGCCACGAGTCAGGGTTGGAAAGCTCTAAAATTTGACAAAATAAGGCTTTTTCTGGTCATGGGCAGGTATGATTAGAATACACATCTAATTTTGCTAAGCGTAAGTCATCATAAAATATTCAAATGAATATTTTAAAAATGGTACAACAGAATAGCAGCAGAGTTGAAGGATATAGAAGACAGTAGTGAGCCCTGCTATGACATATGGTTTAGAGACAGGGGCTCTGTCTCACAGACAAAAGGCTGAGTGGGAGGTGGAAGATGATGAAGATGCTGAGAATTTCAAAGAGAGTGACCAGAATGGACAGGATTAGAAATGAGGAGTTCAGATGAGGTGCAGCTAAGAATCAGACTCACCTTCATTGGCCGGAGCAAGCGAGAGGGAGAGAGAGAGAGAAAGAGAGAGAAAGCGAGAGAGAGGGAGAGAGAAAGAGAGACCCACAGCGGGAACATTCATAAAAGGTTGAAGACTTTGATTACTAGTGTACCAGCATTCACACTAGGTGACCAGTGAGTAAGATGAAACTAGATGATCGTTTTATTTCATTACATTTACTTTGTATGATTTTTCTAAGATTCGGTAAAAAAAAGCCAAAACACTGCTTTTATTGTGTTAATGTTAAAGAAAATTCATACTGGATTAAATATTTGTCACTGGATCTTTGCAAAAAAAATAAAATAATAATAAATATTGAGAATAAATTTGACTTAGAGACTGGTGTGACATATGACAGCTGCGACTTCTTTTAAAGCTGAAGATTTAGGTGACAGCAACTTCCAGTCAGAAACATTCTGAAGCTCCTCAGTGAACACAAAGCACAGCTTCACTTTTTAAATAACCCTTTATTCAAATGAATGCGCAAACACATCACACTGTCGGTGATTAAGTGTGTGTGAGCGTGTGTGTATGAACTAGAAGTAAATTCAAACAAAATCAGTAAAATCATCCACTGTGGACACAAGTCTCTTCCTCTGCCCTGACGTTTCAGGGTTTGGTGCTGGAGCGCTCTGCTGAAATGATTTGTTCTGCTGACTGTGCACTTGGGTCAGGGAGATGCTGGGAGTCGAGCGAGACTGAATGTCCTCTTGGGCCTTGGCGTCGGAGCAGATTGAAAAACAGTGTAAGTATGGTCGGGAAAGTGAATAAACAGAAGAGTTCCTTTAGTTAGTGCGTGTTCTTACCCTGGTCCTGATCCTTTTAATGTGTCTTAATCGTGCGAGCCACTTGGACGCATAAGCATCAGAGGGGTTTGCTCTGTACTGATGCACCAACGAAGCCATCTGCAGGGGAAACAGTGATGAACACTGTGTGTGTGTGTGTGTGTGTGTGTGTGAAGAACTGTTGCAAAGATTGAAAAGACTTACATTTGCGTGCAGAGCCATCTGTCTGACTAAAAGTGGAAGGTTGCGGTCTGAAATTATTTTTGCCACCGACGTGTCGACCAGTTTCTCCAGGTCTAAGGAGAAGAAAAGTATGAAGTCAAAATATTCACAGGAATAATACCAAAAGCCAGAACTCAGATCTGAATACCTTTGCGGCACTGGAGGGTTACCAGGTTACATTCGTAGTCCAGTGGCTTAATAATAACTTCAACGAAGTTGAACTGACCCTGGAACACAGGAAGAGATTATAGCCAATACAAAAACTAAAGAACTCATCAGTTCTGGACTTCTTGTGCTTGTGTTTATGTATGTGATGCCTTGATAGTGCCCAGTTTGTAGTCCTCTCCAGAGTCATTGTACACCACCATGACAAAATCGTTGCCAATATGACGCTTTTTGTTGCAGCAGCCTTTGTCGCTCTCCCTGTTCGGCATCAGAGTGGCAATGTGGAAGATAGCTGCAGAGACAGTGTCACTCAAGTTAGAGCAGACTGGCTGCAAGGGGTTTCAAACAGCTGGCCAGCAGGACACTTCTGGCCCACAATCCCCACAAATCTGGCCTATTTATTTTCAATTGTTCTGTTTATTCATTCATTAATTGCACTCATGTGTGCTGTTATATTATATAATATTTATAGGTTCAACAAAAAAAACTATGTTTTCTAAAATATCAGGGTTTTTTTGTATTGAATATTAATAACTGATGTGGCCCATGTTTAAATACAATGCAGAGCTACTGGTGTGGTCTTTTTCTAGCGTTTTCCAGCACCCTTAATCTAACCTTGCATGATGTCATCGTGCCAGCAGTAGGTGAACTCCCCGTCATCTCCGTACTGGTCAAGCCCTCCGAGAAAGATCTGGTCAGGGTCACAGTCTTTGAGGTGTATCAATTTGCCAAGGCCTGTTAGAAATCCTGTGTATCGGTTTGAACCGTACTCATTTGACAGAATGGCCACCTCATTGTTTACCTGAAAAAAGTACAGCGAATGACGGAGTTACACAGTGCACACACCGTCAAAGCAGCCGTCACAACTATGAGGTGGATATACTCCAACCTGTCCAGCTCCCACAAACACAACTCCAATTTTATGTGTGTCGTACGGTGGCATCTGGTCCAGGACCTTCACAGCACGGTCAATCACCTACAAGAGGCAGAAAACAATATGAACGAGAATATGAATGAAAAAAATCATTAAGAGGGAAGGTCTGACTAACCTGAGTTTTGGGCAACAGCAGTGGCTTGTTGGCCTCATTGCCAAAGAAGGGAGAATGGTAAAGTTGCAGGAAGACAAAGCTACAGGAGCAAAAGTGGTAGAGTTAGAGAAGAAACATTAAAATGAGAAAACCTTTCTTGTTGACATCTTTTTTTCTTTACATTTAATTAGAATCCGAAAGTGCTTTACTCCATGTCAAAATATTGTAAATCCAAACAGTTCCAGTAGTGTCCACCATACTGACAGTGGCTCCATGCTACCCACAGATAGAGCTAAATATCCCAGAAAATGGGGAAGAACACAGGAAGGGGAGGGAGAGAGACTGTGTGTGTAATACTGTGGTTGAGATGTCTCTCTATGATGAGCCCTAAGATATAGAGCATCTGATTTATGGGTTTTAAAAATGGAGAGAACAAAACCTACTTCAACCAGAAAATAGAGGGATATATTTTTCTTATAGCACAATGGGAAATAAACATCAATTTTCTACAGATGGTAAAAACATTTTACTTAAATAGTTGAAGTAATCCACAGGTGTCACCCTAGTCTCTGGACCATGCATGTCCAGAGGTGGCTCAAATTGAACTGATGTTTTGGTCTCTAAGACTGGTGGACTATCATTTTACAGCTGGAAACTATTTCCTCCTTTGTCTTCATTTACTTTTTTCCTACCTTGGACTCAGTCCTGAAAGCTTTTCTGCGTTGCTAGATCCTGGTCGATTGAGATACGAGTCCCTCTCGTTCCTCCTCTCCCTCCTGGAGGAGGGGGCTGATACTGAAATGGTATGACCCCGAGGACGGTGGCCTCCACCGGGGGAGACAGGTCCAGGTTGTGCTGCTGCTGGAAACTCCAACCTCAACCCTGCGCCTCCACTCTGTGCAGAAGGTGCACCTGGACCTTCGGTGTTTTGGGTTTGACCTCCTGACCCATTTATTTTATCTACCGTGTTTATTTCTAATTTCTCATTTTCAAAGTGAGGCTGCTGGCACTGAAGTTTGCCAACTGAAGGCGCTCTTGGCCGTGAGGTGTCTGGCAACACTGTCTCTGACTCAATCACTCCCTTGGTGAAGGCTTCAGGTAATGTCTGCAGTTCAGGTGAGGAGCTGGACTTGTTGAGTCCATGACCCTGGGACTGAGAGTGAGTCTGAAAAGAAAGCTCAGACCCCTGTTTCCCTGGGGTGAAAGTTCCTGGGGTGGGCAGATCAATGGGAATCGCTCCCTCACTTATTTCTTCCAGTGTTGACTTATCACCATCCTGACTGGAGGTGGAGGATGACTGAAATGACAGTATATACATATACATATATATACACACAAACACATACATACGTACATAAATATATATATATATATATATATATAT